ATTTCTACAATTACAAAGGGTACGAATATTTATGAAACTGATTGTGTATAAATATACCGAGTTGAGGGCAGGTGAAAATTAAAGAAATCGATACTCTTTACTCGCTTATATTTAATATTATCATACATTTGTACGTTCTAATTTAAATTCTTTTCGTTATTCAGGAGCATGTCGCAAAGAGTGGACGTTACAGAATGTTGCTTATTCGTCATAGGATTACATGTTCGACTCGTACGTAACTGCTCTCTAGCGTTCGTCTTATATTTAACTTAATCGTTAGATTGCAGGGCGAGGATTAGGACAGGTCGAGTTGTCAAATTATTCTAGAAAATGTAACGTTTCTCGTGGTTGCATCGTTCTGCTTAATTCTCTTTTATTACGTCGGGTAAAGTTGCTAAATGGAATAAATAAAATAAATAAAAGATTTCCGGTCGTAAATTAGGAAGACACGTTTAACACGTTTCGGTTCGATCGTTTAGACTCCGCTGTTTTGTTTGATCCATTGACGGTAGTAAGACACGTCTGTGTAGACTCCCGGGTAGTTTGGTTTGCCGCATCCTTGTCCCCAGGAAACGATACCGACGAGTTTTCCGTTAACGACCAACGGACCACCGGAGTCACCCTGGCAGGAATCTTTGCCTCCCTTCGTGAAACCAGCGCAAATTTCTCCGACAGGAACGCCGCCATCGTGCTTGTAGGCAGCGACGCACGACTCCCTCGAGATCAACGGAACCGAGACCTTCTGAAGATTCCTCGGTGTTCCAGAATTCGTTCTGCCCCAACCGGTCACCAATCCGGATTTACCAACCAGAGACGCGGAACTTCCTTGGAACAATGGGACAGCCTTTTGGTTTCTGTTGAATTTAAACGCGTCCGAGTCCACCACGCGGAGAAGAGCGATGTCGTTTACAGGGGCACCGTTTTCGTTGCCGTAGTTCTTGTGTCTGATCACTTGCTGCACTCGATGCACCGTACCGGCGTTGACGTTGGTCGAGCCTGTACGAATCGTCAGCGAATTGGAAATGTCGACGCAATGACCAGCGGTCAACACCCAGTTCTTGGCGATTATGCTACCCCCGCAGAAGTGACGGTTAGACATCTGTAAGCTCACTTGGTACGGAGCTTTGTCGATGGTGGTTTCCTCTCCGCCCACGATACGCCCGTCCAATTCCTGCTCCATCCTACCCGTCGGGTTTACGGGATTACCTGAAAAACGGAAATTCATTTTTGACAACTCGGAGGCTCTGTTTCAACCCTTTGCGCACTCGAGAGGTGACTCTCAGTCACCGTTAGGTTTCACGCAGCAAATCTACGATAGGTACCTGATGTTTCTTTAGATTTCATTTCTTTGGAGAAAGAAAAGCAAAGAAAATATTACGTTCGGTAGCTTTAAACTCTTGTTCAAAATTTTCCATGATTTTACTAAAACGGAAAAAAAAAATTGAACGATCAACAAATTAACGTAGCTAATAATTAAACACGCGAGAGCTTTTCGAAAGCTACAAATCGATACATAAAGCGTATAAATTAATTTTAACGAGTTCTAAAAAATTGCACAAATCGAATCAACGTAAAAAACGCACGATCTTTTGGTTCACTCTAGAAATATGAAAATGGGGTTGTATCGTACAAGGGTCCGTCGCGTAATTTCTGTAAAATGTTCGCATCGTTCGCAGCCTTAATTGCATTAAAAACGAACCAAATTTCTGGACAGAACCAGGTTCTGCGTAGAAACAAACTTCGAAAGCGTTGAAATTTTTATTTAACTTAATTTCTCGTACCGCGTACGGTTATCTACGTGAAACTCCAACCGCGGGGATCTTTTCTAGATTGTCAACCCGTAGTTTAAAGACAAATACTCGGACTCGGGTTGCGTCAGACCTCGATAAAGCGGCCGGAATGTCGGAACAAGAAGTTGTATCGTTACAGTTTGAATAGCATTTCGTAGATTTTCGTAACTTAACTCTTCCAGAGTATTCCAAGGAGACAATGGAGCCGCCGCGAGAGTGGTAAAATTAGATGCCGAGTCTTCTATAGAGGAACCAGCATGATGCTAAGCACGTTACTGGCGAGCTACGTTTCGAGTAATTCGACTACGAAACACTGCCCACGAACTTTCCATACTAAACTAGATGGATTATAATTTTTATTTCGCGTTGTAGTGGTAAAGAATAGTATTGTAGAAAATTGAAAGAATCGTTCGCGAGAAATAAAGAAAAAAGTATCGGAGCTACGTAGCTCTGTCGATGCGGACCGTAACGTTTGCGAAACAAAAAAGCCGAAATCGGACACGGCAACCTTCTGGAAGCCATTGCTACGACGAGTATTACTCGCGAAAGCCTTAAATTTAAGGGGGCTAGTCGTAGTCAGGAAGAGGAAAAACGACATTTCTATGTGATTTCTTTTTAGTTATTAAATAATAATTTGCATAAGTAACAATTAAGTATGTTATAAAGCATGTTTTAAAGAACTGAAAAATATTTTTTGTTTTAAGAAACAAAGATAGACGATGATTTAAAAACATAGATTTGCGGTGAGCAAGATCTCTCTACACTGGTTTACCTAAAAACAACAGTAGATTTCGAAAATAGATTAGTCTAGCGGGTCCCTGAACGAAGGATTTTGGAAAAAATTCATTTAAAACAAAACGGCAAGATGGTACATTTGAAGTTGATTTTCAATGTTTTCACTGTAATTAAGCGATTCAATACAGGATAAGAAAAAAGTATACAAGAAAATAAAAAAATCCTTCGATCAGGGACCCGTTAGTCTAATATATTTTCTAAATCTACCTTTAGTTTTGTTTTCAAGTGCACCAGTTTGAAGAAATCTTACTCACCGCAAACCAAGTGGCCACCCACGCGATCCCCTGTTACGACGAAATGAATTAACCTTTTTTTAAAACAAAAATTCTTTTATAGTTCTTTGAGACATACTTTGTAATATATTTACACATTAATAAAAATGATTATTTAATACCTTAAAAAACACACACACACACACACACAAGAAACTGTCCGTTTCTACTTTCCTGACTGCGACTAACTCCTTAAAAAGGAAAAACGGCAGTCAATCGTTGCGATTACGAATGCGTTTCGCGCAGCGTGAAAAGAATGGAAAAAAAAACTTTGGAGAGTTTGAGAATTTTGCGAAATGTTAAGAGAGATGCATCGCTTAGCGAAAAAGATTTCCCCGTGGCCGCGAATCCCCGGAAGACCGCAGAATCGAAAGTTCGCTCGAATATTTAAGAACTTACCGGCCGCTAACGCCACGAGAGCGAGGATCGTGACGAACTTTTCCATTTCGAAAGTTTTATTCCTCCTCCTACGACTACACCGAGTGTTGTGATGCAAGGGCAATCCACGCCACCGTATTTATAGGAAAAAGTCTAAGAGGACCAACAGACAATTGCGTGACTTCGTAGCTAATCAGAAATCTGGTTTCTCTAATCGTTTGAGTGGCTTACTATCTCCGGCGCGGAGGAGGAGGTCGAGAGACACGTAGTAAATCTAAATTATCGAAGGCTTTTAATCTAGTTTTCGAGTGAGCTATCGATCAATCGTCGTTCAATTATTACGCGTATGTCACGAGCCGCGTCGAGAGCGTGTGTTACCTCGTGGTCCGTTCGAATCTCCTCCCTTAGTTTCGCTCGTTGGAGATGGTACCGTTCGTGTTAATCGTTACTCGAGTATTTCGTTCGCATTCGGATGAAACTACTGCGAATAAGCTTCGAATATTCGAAGCTAGTCCCGAGTTGAATGAATTTCTTTCGACCAAATGAAATGAAACATTTTTATTAGTTTCTTACGAAATATCTAACTTTAACGCGTTGACTGCCATGGATTCACATTGGAAATGTTTACGGAGGTAAAATTTTGTCACGGGACAATTAGAAACTGTAGAATCTAACATTTGTCGTATTACTCATTTTTCTATTCTCATCAAAAATTTACGAATTCTATCCAGATTAGTTTTCGTCAACACTTAGCCCTTGCAATCATTTGTTGCAAGTTCCTTGGCGAAAAGCTCCGTCTCCCGTATGTGGGTGACGCGGCGTTCAACGTGTTAACGACCCTTGATACATATCGAAGAACTCCCTGAACTCGTTCTGCACCATAGAGATGAAATAAAGCGAAACTTGAGATTCTTTGAAGCATTGAGACCGTTCCATTAGATTTCATATTTCTAGGCAGGAATTTTATTTCCGCATACTGATTATATAATTTGTACGTAAAAATAATAATAATAATAAATTTCTCATAGCTTGAATAAATTTGATTGAATAATATAATTTTTATCGTTATTTATGACATCTTGTCAGCGTGATTGCAATTTGTATATCATTTTTTACGAATATGCGCATACTCGTTGAAACTTGTTGTACCGGTAATGGACAGAACTTTCCGGTAGACCTAATATGATACCTCAAAAAAGTTAACAATAATAATTACAATTGATGTGAGCGTTCTAAATACCTTTCGTACAAAGTTAAACTATGTTTTACAGAACAGAAGCAAGTGTCCAGATATTTTTGAACGGTAGTGTACGGTGAGTGTAGAAAGTATTCGTACACCGATCAATTTCCAAAAAAAGCTATGTAAAATTGTAATTTATTAACTTATTTTTGATAAACAATGACATCCTACATTTTCTCCGAAATCTCTAGAATAGATAGATTAAAAAAAAAAAAGAAAAAGAATAGCTATTTATGCAAGTTGCGAAATTAACAAGAAAAAAACAACTAATTGATAGAAAAGTCGAAGCAATAAGTATTCGCACAACTGTTTAAAAGTACTTTACTGGAAATTTGATGTTTTCTAATTCGTATGGAATTAAATAAACTAACGAGAATATGTAAAATATCATTGATTATAAAAAAAAAGATGTTAAGAAACTACAATTTCGTAGAAGAGTTTTTTGAGAAATTGATCGGTGTACGAACACATTCTACATCCACTGTATGTGTCTGAACATCCGTGAAAGAGTTAATTTCACTTTTATTATTTTTCCGTTGGATTCGAATACCAATAATTAGCCTTGGAAGTCTTAGAAACGATCGAAATATTTTGCTTATCGTTGAATCAAAATCGATTATCTTTCGTACTGGAAGCAATTCGTGTCGAGTGGAACGGTGTATCGAATACGTGACAATACGGCCGACTATCCGTATTTATTTTGATTTAGATAATCGTAATTGTCTGTATATACGCGAGAGCGCAGCGCGACCGATAATGATCGTTGGCGATTTTCTTTCAATTTTTACGAAAACTGAGACTCGTTGAAGGTCGAGGGTAGCCGTGATTGGCACGTGAAACTTTAGAGGTCACTCCTGCATGCCAACTACTTATTTTTTTTATCGTTGTTACTGACCCATATCGATAAAAATAAAATAACGTACACGCTCGACGGTTGAAACGCGACGGAAGTCGGTAGTCGCAGTCCATCGGTGTGGTTTTCGTTCCATTTTTCGTGTAAAATGTGTATTAATGCGCGACTAGGGCCTTTGGGAGCAACGTGAACGTCGCGTCCAAAGTTTTTCGAACCGAGGCAAATAATGATTAGTAGGACAATAAGGGAGAATGGTTCCAGGCGGTGAGTTAGACGACATCGCCGGAAATATCGCCGGCCAAGGGGAATATCCCACGGGAATCGTTCCTCGAGTAACCTAGTTTGTCCGAGCCATCCTCTCTCCGTCCTTCGTCTCTCTAAGTGAAAATATAAACGCGACGACCGCTGCTCGCGCACTTCCAGATTCGTCTTTTCGCGCAAGTGTCGTACAATGCCAAGAAAAATACGTAACACCGTTCACAGAGTGCATTATCTCCTCGCGTTAATACGAACTTCCGTAAGCAATCGAAGAACGGACGCGTATTATAAGAGAGGTTCGCACGTTCCTTACCCTTTACTCGACCGCTTTCTTTAGCATCCTGCGTGGAATCGAGTCGAATCGAATCGAGAGTTCCGAGCCACGGGCTGCGTCGCATCATAATAACTCACGGGTATAACTTTTTCGCGATGGATCTTGGCCAAATCGCGAGCACGGGCAATAACTCCGAGATAAAAAGCACATAAGCTCGTTCTGTACTTTGGCGCGGGAAAACGGGCGCGAGCAGGAACGTGAAAGGTATAGAAATGAAAGGAATTAAAGCTTTCTGTGTAAATGTAGAGGCATAGAGACGTTGTATAACAAGAATAGTTCTGCTAGC